TATTTGGTTTAAGTTTACTTATGTTGCGCGTTAGTTACTTGCAACAAAGTTGGTTAGAAAGTTGTTAGGATATTGTGCAAAGCCAACCAAGTTAGTTATAATTAGAAATTCAACTTGTATATATATATATATATATATATATATATATATATATATATATATATATATATATATATATATATATATATATATATATATATATATATATATATATATATATATATATATATATATATATATATATATATATATATATATATATATATATATATATATATATATTGCACATGTAACTCACTTGATCTTGATATTTTTCAATCAATTTATATGTTCCACACAATTCACTAAGCCTATTAATTATTCATCATTTTTTTATTGCCACTAATCTCTTTTTTTTTTAATCAACTCATCCCAACAATTTCCCTTAGTAATATGAATTGTTGATACCATGTTGTGGTAAGACTACTCATGATTATAACCATAAGTAATATATTGCTTACATTCACTTACTTGTTCATTCATATATTGTAGGAGAAACCATCTAGTTAATATGAATATGTCAGTATCACTATATGTATATATCTATTTAGGCTGAGTTACATACATATGATTATATACAAGGATACAACAACGTCTAACTTACATTTTAACATTGATATGATCATATTATATATAAACAGTTTAATGAATCATAAATTTAATGAAGGGGACAATGAAAAATAATGACCAAGAATGTAAAAGATATATGTATAAACACCTCATAATTAGTTTGGGATAATATTAGAAGGGTAAAATGCATGTTTGAATGTAAAGTCTAACTTAAGAACGCAAAAAAAGTATGTAATTTAAATTGCAAAGTTGTAATTCATATAAAATAGGTCACTTAATTTTGTAATTTGAATCCCATTTCACGTTAATCGAATCACACAATGATTTTTTAGATCATGGAACTTCATAAGTCAACTTACAATATGTTGAATCCAATCATCATGCATAAAACCCATATTTTCTTCTTTTTTTTTCTTTTCATGTTTTTATATATATTTTTCACACCAATCTATGTAAGGCGGGATGAAACACTCAAAATAAAAGTTCAGGAACACTTGTAAGACACGACCATTGAATAAAATCAAACAATAGAAATACAACACAAGCAAACCATTAATTTAAACTCTCCAGTCACATCCAATCATCAACTTAACATCAAAAGAAATATGATTCCAAATCATTAAACTTGGAATTACCCCAAAATCATCATAAATCCAACCTAGAAACTTATCATGTGCAAAACATACTACTTAACTACACATATTATTTACTTCAAGAGAACATCTAAAAACCTACAAAGAAACAATACCATGCAACCTTTCGTACCCTAACAGAGAGAAATGTCACGAGATCGATCATAACATTCAACGCTCAAATACCAAAAAAAAAAAACAATAACAATGGCACAAAGAGTCTTAATGAAGAAGTTATGTTTCATAAACACACTCTTCGTGTCTTACTTTGTAAAACAAACGAATAAGATCAGATACACAAGGAAAGTTATGCTCAAGAATTAACATTAAAAAGGGGATAACTCTCACCAATATAAATAATCAGCAACAATGAAATTAGAGTTATAAGGATGAATATTATCTTCAAAGAGACTCTTCATAATTAAGGGTTAATAAGTATTCGTGACATTTTGATGAGTTTTCATGAGAGAGAGAGAAAGAGAGAGAGAAAGAGAGTGTGTGTGTGTGTGTGTGTGAGAGAGAGAGAGAGAAACAAACTGAATAAGTTATGGTTGTTGAAAGATGAATTTGTGCAAATGAAATTGAGATAATCTTTTAGAATTTTTTAATACTCCATGGTCTACCTAAAACACATTAACTTCATGTACAAAAGCCTTTAGTATTGTACCCACGAGATACAATTAACACAAGATTGAAAACATCATGACTTTGCATGCGCAAGTCTTCTACTTTGCATACACGAGGGTGACTAAAACTAATTTTTTAAACAAGTTCACTTTCTTTTAAATTAAGGGACCTTAATTTTCAATAATTAACTATAAGGCTTATAAGCTCCCCCCCCCCCCCCCCCCCCCCCCCCCCCACACACACACACACACACACTTGATTTACATTTTCTGTTGGGGAGTCTCAAGAAGTTGAGAACAACTTCATGCATAATTCTCTGAGACTATAGGAGAGGAAGATACCACATTTTCACAAAAAAACTTAACACATTAGGTATATGAGTCACTTTTCTTATAAATCTAACATTATACCATTTCTTAGGTATATGAGTTACTTTTCTTATAAATTTATCATTATACCATTTCATAGGCAGCACGTGACTTAACCACTCACACTTGAGCTCAATAATCTATCCCACAAGTGTGAGTTCACGATTCCTATAGTTATATCTAACACAAGATCCAACTATTGCTCTCTGCTAGGGGTGAAAATAGGTCAGACCGACTAACAGAGGCCTACAGCCTAACCTACACAAGCTCATGCACGACCGCAAATTTTTAAAAGTAGAAAATGCCTAGCATTTTTTATAAGCTTATTTAGTTAAAAAGGCTAGGCCTCAGGCGATAAAAAGCCTATTAGGCCGAACTATTTAAATAAATATGAATAATTTTTTATTATCATTATGTTATGTTTTGTACTTTGAATTAAAATACATAAATAAAACTTGGTTATCTTGAAAAGTTTATGGAAATAAGATGAAAACACCTTATGAACAATATCATAAGTTATTTTCATAAGTTTTCTTAAACAAATAGTCTCAGGAAGCTTATGTCAATAGATAAGTTAAAATAAGTCAATGCAAACAAACTTTTAGTCTCATTGGTATTTTAGTCTGTTAGTCTAGTTAAACATTATTTGAATTGCTTATTTACATATGTCTAAAATAAATAGGCTTTTATGTAGGTTAACGCGCTAATCAGACATTTGAAAATGTTAGACTCAAGCCTAAAAATAAGCTTATGACAGGCTATAGGGCAGACTTAGGCTTCAATTTTTATGGCAGGTCAGACTTATGTTTGACCCAACCTATTTCCACCCTATTATCTGCTAAGCCAATCTAGGTTCTGATACTATTTGTTGGGTGAATTTAGAGAAACTAGGAGCAACAATGAGACAAACACTCTTAGACAACAAGAGACATATTAACCAAAATATTAAGACAAGATTTAACCACTCACACTTGAACTAAACAATCACCTAAGTTCCAAGTGCATTAAGATGAATTTTAGAGTGTTACATCACGCATGTCAACTTCTCCGCTTCCACAATCTCCATTGCATAACACACCATTAAAAAAATACTACCTATGACTCTAATAAGTGTCTTATTTGAGCAATGTACATTTCTTAAGAAAATGATTAGATATATTGATTTTAATGGTAAAGTTAGTATCATTCACTAAAATATTCTTATTAATTATAGTTAGCGGAGTAATTAAAAAGAGTGAAAGTTGATAAATAAATGTATAATAGTGAAAAAAAATAATACATGTTGTATTGGTATTGTAAAGAGACATTTATTTTGAGACGTAAATGAGACACTTTTTATGAGATGGAAAGAGTACTCAATAATAGGTATTTGGATCAATAATGTCTTATGTGGGCTATAAACTCATAAGTTTTTATTTGAGTTTGGTGAACTTTTTAATTCCGGACATCAATTTGGATTTTGCCTCAAAGATCCATATCCACATTTTTCGGTCCACATTTGTTGGGATATCTAACTATCTTAAAACTGATCAGTCTCTACAACAATATACGTGCACGACAAACACAATACCATGTCTGACTCCACCACCAAACCAATAGGTGACTCCAACATTCAAAAAAGAAAAACATCGAGAAAATGTAACTTTTCGATCATATAATTATGAAACACAATCTCCAATAAACACATGACTCACTACAAAAATGTTATGTCTAATAAACCACACAATTCACGCCTTTAAACTCAAACACAATATCTAATAAATTCAGGGGTGACAAAATATGAAGAACCCTACTGATTAACACACTACTTTTTGAAGGTTGAGCCAATGTTTTCAACCTACTTCACGCCCGTCCTGTTTTTTGGCGGACACTCATATAAATGAGACAAACATGACTATTTCTCACTTTAAACTTTAAGAATAACAAAATTAGTCAAATCTACTTGTTTAACCCACTGGTTTAACCCGTCATTTTTTATATTCTAAATTAAAATTTATAACACACAAAACAAACATGCATGTTTGTCATCTCTAAATAAACCAAATGACTTAACTCAGCCTAATAGTCATCCCAAAATTTTAATAACATGTCACAATCCTTTCTATAATACTTTACCTGGTTTCAAATATAAGTAATTTTCTAAAAAAACCCATCCTTTAAGAAGAATGTCTAAATGATTTAAATCTTATTCTCTTTCTAATTTTATCTTTACCTTTTATTTAAGAAATTGTTAAAAATATGAAAATGTATAAAAAAAAAAAATTATTTAGAATAGTGACATTTAATGTAAATATAATAGATGTTTTCTTTTTATATTGAAAATCATAATCTTTTTTTATTGTTTATATTTTTCAATCAATCAAATTCAACAAAACAATCTAAAGTGGTATCCGAATTGAAGGCACTACTATTATCCCTGGTTCATGAGAAAAACATTTCCTCTTAAGTCGATGAAGACATGTAACACGTGACATATATAGTATCAATAGATTCACCTACAACCAAACTTAGAACTATAGCATCCAGATTCCCAATAATAATCTGCCACGTCCAGATTCCGCACACAGAATTCCACTTTCCAGGGACAAAGACGACATTTCACATCCCTTGACGTCTAAAACATCGTCATTTTCCTTCAACCCAAAACACCTCTTCCCCAAATCCCCCAAAACAAATTCAAAATTAAAACAAATCCCTAATTCTCAAATTTCACACACTCCTTCTCCGTCGTCGTTTTACATGAACTCCGGTTTCCCAAACCGCCATGACCAGAACCGTATCATCGGAGAGACAACCGCCGCGATCGTCGCCGTCGATTTCGAGGTCGATTACGCAAACACTTAACGGCTCGCACAAGTTTCTGATCCAAGGCTATTCGCTTGCGAAGGGAATGGGAGTGGGAAAACACATTGCAAGCGATGTGTTCACCGTCGGAGGGTATCAGTGGGCGATCTACTTCTATCCTGACGGCAAGAATCCGGAGGATGGTTCCAATTATGTTTCCGTTTTCATCGCGTTGGCTAGTGAAGGAACCGATGTAAGAGCACTTTTTGAACTCACGCTTGTTGATCAGAGTGGACTGGGGAAACACAAAGTTCATAGCCATTTTGATCGATCTCTTGAGAGTGGTCCGTATACTCTCAAGTATAAGGGTAGCATGTGGTAGGTTTTTGTTTATTTTAATTCTTTGTTTTTATGGGATTTGAAATTTTGAATGTTTGTGGTTTAGTGTTAAGATGATTTGTGATTTTTTTGTATTTTGAATTTGATGTGAATTTCACATTTTTTATGAATATGTTGTTAATTATAGTGATTCACTATATCAGTATTATTTTTGTTAATAATGCATGATTACTTAGTGTTTAGCTCAACAAAAACGTTATATGGGTGAATTAGAAGCCTTGTTCTTAGTTAAATTAAATGGTGTATATGAAATATAACTATATTACTATATGATACATGAAGGCTTCACGGGTAAAAAGACTATCTTGATTACACCCTTCAATGAATATCAATTATCTGGTTTGTCTATTTAGCTGCACGCAGTTAACCAAAAAAAAAAAGCCTCTATCATTTCAGTTTTTTCAAAATCAAGGACAATGTGTGTTCTTGGAGAGCTTTGCCGCTTATTGTGGTCCTTCCTGGTTGGAGAGATTAGTCTCTACAGTTGTGCGCAGAGGATACCCGGTTTCTACCGAATTTTTTTTGGGGAAGGGATAAATTATTATTAATTAAAATGGCATTAGAAGTCATTTTATAATTGTCCTGATAGATTTTTAACTCTTTCCTCTTTGACACCTCATGGACAATGCATGTTAAGATCCGTATGAGTGTACGGTGTTGTGTTGAGATTTGTGAAATGATAATCTTGTTCGCATGTTCTTGTAGGGGGTACAAGCGATTTTTCAGACGGAATTCGCTTGAAAGCTCTGATTTCCTCAAGAATGACTGCTTAAAAATCAACTGTACTGTTGGAGTTGTAGTTTCTGCTACTGATTGTCCTCTTCTTAACTCTATTCACGTCCCAGAATCTGACATTGGATCACACTTTGGCACACTACTGGAGAATATGGAAGGTTCAGATGTTACTTTTGATGTGGCTGGGGAGAAGTTTCCTGGTCATAAGATTGTGTTGGCTGCTAGATCCCCAGAATTTCGATCCAAGTTTTTAAATGGTATGGATGTGGATACGGACAACCAGGAGATTGTTGTAACAGATTTAGAACCAAAGGTTTTTAAGGTAAAAACTATTTATTTCTTATTGTTTTTTCTTCCATTTCACTATCTTTTTTCCATGGTAGTGTTGAGCATGGCTAGGATCTACTATGTTATTATGTGCTTTCTCTTGTTAAAATTTTCTTTTGTTGAGAAGAAAACACTCTAAAGGTGTTAAGATGGAAAGTACAACTATGGGAGATAGATGTCCTGATTTACCTCTTACTTTTACAGGCAATGCTGCATTTTATCTACAGGGATACCCTTACAGAAGAGGCGGATGTGGTTCCATCAACATCATCTAGTGATTTTCCGGTTTGTGAGACATTGATAGCAAAATTGTTAGCTGCAGCAGACAAGTATGGTTTGGACAGGCTTAAACTGATGTGCGAGTCTCGTCTTTGCAACGGCATTGATGTGAACTCTGTAGCCAGAATTTTAGCGTTGGCTGACCAATGCCATGCCGCAGAGTTAAAAGCTGTTTGCCTAAAATTTGCTGCTCAAAACCTAGCAGGTATGCCTACTTAGTGATTAATTACTCGTTTTTGCTTGCTTAGCACGAGCAACCGTGCCAACATAAACACCAATGTTTAACTTACAACACTTGTCACTGGAAAAGTAACTAAAAATAGAAAAGAAAAATGCATTCAGCTACTAGCTTAGTATGCTTGTTAAACACAGTTGTTTGACATACCTCGATAGGCATAGAGCAGAAAAGGTAAATAATGTATTCCAAAATAAAATTCACGATCCTTAAACGTTCAGACAATCAGTATGATTGTACATTTTGGGAATCTTTGCTCTCACTTGCATCTAACCAGTTACAGAATTCATGACATAGCTAATTCAATGGAGGGTTTGACGAGAGTCCACTAGGGTTATGTTTTTGATTCATATACGTCAAATGCAAACTAGTAGGAATAAATGATAGTAAAGATAATCTCATGGCAATGCCATTAAACACCAGAATATTGAGAGAGATGAGAGAGAGAAGATCAGGAAAAAAAACTGAATCGGCAATGTTTGTTTAAGATTTATTTGTGTTAGTCTTGCATTCTTAGTGACTATATAATGTCACTTGTTCAAAAGGCAATTAAATCTTCCAAGCTTTTACTAGAAATGAAAAATTTTAGTTACTAATTACTATAACAATGTGTTTCTTCCTCACTCTCTCAAAAGACATTATCACATTATTTGATTTACTTACTTAGTTGGACCTCACTTAGTGGGATAAGATTTTTGTTGATGATTTTTTGACCTTATATGCATTTTAAAACATTTAGACCCACATAATCTCCTTCCTCTTCCCTCTTCTTGTTATTTTCTTTCCACCACATTTTTTTGTGCTTATATATATATATATATCTATGTTAAGCATGTAAGTCTTCTGCATTCAGAAAGGCCCGACCATTGTTGATGGGTTTGCATTTGTTTTTTAATTTAAATTTTAGGACATTTAAGATTTAGATTGGCTGGCCATATTTTGACCCCTTGTTGTAGATTCATGTTTTAATCATGTAGTATTAAAACTACTTTTGGGCATAGACAATTATTTTAATATACTTTCAACTATCCACATGCTTAATAAGATGGTTCTTTTTGTTTGGACTCATTGCAGCTATCATGAGGACGGATGGATTTGAGTCTATGAAAGAGAAATGTCCATGGCTACAGTCAGAGATCTTGAAGACAATTGCTGGCTGTGAGGGTGATACTTGCAGTACAGGGGGAAAATCTCAGAGTGTGTGGGCCCAACTTTCAGATGGTGGCGAAACAAATGGCAGGAGAGTTAGACAGAGACATTGATATCTGTTGTCACATTGGTATCTCTGATTTTTTTTATGTAAATGAAGTTATAATGTTGAAAAAATGGGGGATAGAAAAAGCGAAAGAGAAGGAAAAACCTTTTCTGGTGGATTTCTCCGTGTTTCAATTGAAAGTTCTTTAGAAAAAGAAGGTAGACTAGATGCTATGCAGGTTATATATATGTCTTCAATGGTGTGTGTAGTGCGGAGTAGTTATTGAAAATGAGCTCATCTGCAGTAGATGTTTGTAGAGGATCCATGTCCATACTTCGAAACTGTATGTCATCGATGCTGGATTTTATGGCCCCGTCTCCTTTGTCCCTTGATGTCCCTTGTTCAAACTTAATGTTTGTAGAACTAGGTTCAATAGGGTGGTTGCTATACCTTGTAAAAAATGTTCATTTTGTAAACACCGTTTCTTTAATTTAAACCTCATAAAAAGTGGTAATGTGAGATAGTCCATCTTGAATTGATTTTTTAATGGTTCTGGGTGGCCATATCTTGCATTATTACCACCTTGTTTACCTTAGAAGGAAGGTCTAAGACACATGTATTGCATTGTTTATAGACAGCAGAACTGGGCAAAATGGATGGATTGGAGATGTTTCCCTACATTCCCGTAGTCGGGTAAATTAGCACAACCATTTGAACATAATAAGCTGGCTTGCATCGTTAGTCTTAGTATGGTTGTGATTGTTTCTATAGTCACTTTTGACCGATGATAATGTGCATATTGAGTTTAAAATCTTCCTGCCTGGGGCATTTAAACTTGAAATGTGTCATGGGACTTAAACAAGTTGAGCAAAGTGTTTTTAGACAAGAAAGATGTTTGGCAAAACTTTGATAATACTATTTCAGAAGTGATTCTTCGAGTTTACAAAACAGAGTACCTCAGAATAGATCTACATTATAAAAGAGTGCAATAGTGAAGTTTTACCTCAACTCTTTTCTAGTCTTCATTTTTTGTAATCTCTAAATCCAATCCACTAAAAAGTTAAATTAAAATTGTCAAATTTTAAATCGTAGGTTTGATTGTAGCCATTCAAAAAATAGATAAATATAGACTTAGTTACATTTTGTATTCTCCTATTTTACTCACTTGGAATTTTTCTTTCCAAATGATCGATACATTGCTTAATTACTAATTTTAGGTTTTTTTAATGAATTTGAAATCTATTTAAATAAAATAAAAAGCAGGACGAGAGATTGGGAGAGATAGAAACTAATCTAATAAAACAAAATATTAAAGCAAATTAAAATTAGAGATAGACATTTATACATCACGTGTACAATCTAGCAAATCATTTACGATGCAAAACTAAATTGAAAAAAAAATATCATATATGAATTAACAATCACTAAACTAAAATTTTAAAAGAGACGAATGAACTCATGAACTCGACTGACTGTCAACGCGATAACGACTTCATTAACCAACAATTTACGCACAAAATGCCGTAAGTAATCATGGCCATTTTTCGTCAAACGGTATGAAATCAATCACAATCGACTGAAACAGATTTTAAGACTGCGGAGGTAGGAAACTCAAACCGGAGCTAGAATGCACAAACAACTCCCAATTCGAACAATCAAATATTCTTTGACGCAGTGAATGCACAAACAACTCCCAATTCGAACAATCAAATATTCTTTGACGCAGTGAAGACAAACAAAATCTTGAAAAGATCTATAACTAATTAGAGATTGAAGAATCATAATGTAAACAAATCCGCATCAGAGAAGATGAGGCTTATAAGTAGCAAAAAAATAATGTTGGAGAAGGAGATTACACAAACGTAACTGAGTTGCATCCAAAACCTTGGCCAATGAGCATTTTCTCCATCCGCAAACCAAAATTGGGCGAGGAGTCAATTGGAAAAAACAAATTAACACAATTTCAGATCTGAAGAAAATTGTTGCCGATCTGCCTAGAACGAGTAAAAATCGACCAATCGACACCATCTCAGAAATCTCATCACAAAATCAATCAAACCCGCTAGTCGAAGTAAAAAACGAACCATTGCGATGCCAGAAACAGCGAGGAAGTGCTGAAATATTAAAACATGATGGCGTCGAAAACAACTGTAATGTGCGATCCCAATAGAGTGAAGAGGTGATGCGGAGAAACCTGTTCTCATCGTACCACCATTTTAAAATTACATGATGAAAAATGAGTTTTAGATTTTGGGAAGAAGAATAGTAATCGAAGGTGAAGGTAGAGAGCGACTAGCGAGAAAGGTTTTCTTCAAGATAATTGACTCAAGAACTCTTTTAAAGTATAAATATTTGAACTCGTCATTTTTTAAAAAGAATGACTTCCTACGAATTATTTTAACTTAATTTCTTTTCTTTTTTAATATTAAAAAAAGTTGTACAAAAACAAATTAAACTCATTTTTGTAAATTAAAAGATTAATTTCGACATAAAATAACATAAATATATATTATTTGATATTAAATTGTAGTTAAAATCACAATTTTTTAAAAATAAAAAAAAACTATTTAAAATAATTTTAAATTTAAGTGATTTTTTTTTGAAATTTTATTAAAAAATATAATAAGAAAATGTAATATTTATAAAAAATATTTTAAAAATTTTATTTAAACTAATTTTTTATTTAATTTTTGTTTTAAATATATATTTTTTAACCTTTAAGTTATAAAATTATTTATGACTTTTTGAAACAAATGGCTTATTTTAAGAGTTAAAGGCTTGGGTCCCGAAGTTTGAATCACGATATGTGCATACAATTTTTGAGTTGGGTCAAGTTCATACGCTTAGATTTTGAATAAGAAGATTTTTTAATGCATCCTATATGTTTTTTAGCCACCACACAAAATTATTTAAATGTCTAGTTTTCAGAGATGCATTTCAGACGCACCAAATTTAAAATAAATGTTGAAATATTCCGCAGATGTATTTTTGAGATAATTTAAAATATTAAATTCATCTCACTCAGAAGCCATTTTACATTTGAATTGCACTGAAGATGCATTTCTTTGAATATTTCGGAGATACATCTTTGTAACGCATCAAAACATGTCTTTCATGTTATATGTTGTTTTTCTGTGTTCAGATGGAGATTTCAATTATATTGCACAATCAAAAATAAAGAATATACATACATAATTCTAGATGGTCCAAAAAGGTCATACAAAAATAAAATAAATAAATGTCGAAAATGCCATACAATGGAGATCAATACAGTAGCAAGACCGTCAAAATAAAATACAGACCATTGTACTACTACTACTACTACTATATACTAAGAGACTATTATGTGTGTTTGACTACATCTCCTCTACCTCATTTTCCTCGTCTACCTCATCGACCATCAATCTCCTCTGTCCTCCAGCGATGTCTCTGATACAACATTGCCCTATGTGCCTCCGTCATGATGACATATATGACCCGCCTCACTTTAGACCCGTCAGGGAAGATACACGTGTCAACGTCTGCCTGTACAATCTCCACTATGAGATGAAAACTAGGCAAGACATCCTCAATATGATCTAGTTGTGTCTGCTCCTTCTCTAATATCTCATAATAAGCTGGTCTCGACGAATCTTCTAGAGCAGCATGCACTATATATGAATGATACACCTTGAAGAACCATCTCGAGTGCCTCATCTTTGGTATCCTCCAATGATCTAGGAATCTCCTCCTGATTGGAAGATGTAGCAAACACAGGACATCTTCGAGTGTGATATACATCTCACCATGCGGGAGATAAAACGACGAGGTCTCTGAGTGTCATCTCTCCACGAATATATTAAGCATCTCGTGGTTAACCGTAGTATAACTGATCATGCATAAGTCCTTCATGCCAGATAAGGACAAAACTGACTGAAACCAGTCCTCATTCGGATAAGGAAAGACAACGGTCTTCCTCCCGTGGTTAAGAAAATTTTGCGGATCACACTCCTAAAAAATATTCAATGTCATAAATTTGTCAATTAACATTAAAAAAAACAACGACTCCAACTAATGCTACCTCTTCACCTCATATATGTCTGACAGTATGGTCTAGATACAGATGGAGTAATGACAAATCACTTGGACCTCCTCCAAATGCCATTGCAGCATCAGTGGCCTCACCCTTTGGGGGTGACACTAAATCATCAACATCAACAGTAAGAGGTGGAATTGAATTAGCAACATCTACAGTAGGAGGTGACACTGGTGAAACTTGACGTATGCGGGATGACGAAAGGAGTGATGCGTCAGATGATGAATCTTGTCTTTTACGGGAAGAGGATGATGAAATGGCATGAGGAGAAGCACGAGCCCTTGATGTAGATGGATCCACCTACCAGAGGGACCAGGAGCCTCCGGAACCGGTCGACTCTTCTCCCGCCGCACTGATGCGTGCTGAGCAACCCTCTCGTGCCTCAACCTGTCCTGTCAATCAGCCATTATGTCTATAAGTTAAAGTAATACAAATTATTAGTGCATGCAAACAACACACAAGCAAAAAACAAAAAAAAAAAAATTGCAGAAAATTCTAGAGATACATCCTCGGAAGCTGGAAAACTAAAACGTTGAGAAATTTCGAAGATGCATCTAATACTCTATGTCTAATACTCTATGTCTAAACTATCTTAAATATTATTTCTATTCATTTCTAACTCTAATCATTAATTTATGTTCATTTACACAAAAACTCAAAAATTTATAGAAACTCAAAAAACTTACAAGAAATTGATGTTTCTGATGTTACAGATGTTGATTGATGTTCCCTTAAGCCTTGTTGAATAAGTTTTGACTTGAGGTAGAGAAGAAATTTGAGAGAATTTGAAGTTGAGTTTGAGTAAAATGAGAAATGAGGAAGGAGAAGGATCTGACGTGATTTAACCTCTAAAATGTTCCAGAGATGCATGTCCGAAATATTTTAACGTTAATTGACCTTTTGGTGCGTTTGGAGATGCATCTCTAAAAACTAGAGATATTTTTGAAATTTCGTGTGATAGATAAGAAACATATAGGATGCATTTAAAAAAT